GGGGGGCGTGGAGGGGGGGGGAGTGTAACTTTATGATTCATCAAACACTAAAAGTCATCAGCAGGAGTGACCCTTTAAAGGAGAACTATGAGGCGAGTGAAAATCACTCACCTCATAGTTCGAGCCGACCTGTGACCATGAAGCTGTCATACTTCGGCTCAATAGATCGGGAAGTGAGCGAACACATCGCTCGCTCACTTCTCGATCATGTCCCTTCAGAGAGCCGTGACCGTCACTCATGGCTCCCTGCCGGGATTCCCCCCTCCCCGCTCAGATCCTCCAGCGCTGACTGGCAGAACGGACGGGGGAGGGGGCGGGTACAGCTGCCTGTGCCTCTAGATAGGCAGAGCCCGCTGTCACTCACGCAGCTGGGTGGATCCCGGCACAATTGTCGGTATCCGTCCCGGCATCTCAGTATACCGCAAGTTGTAGCTCGCGGTATACTGAGCCTAGGGTGACGGGAGGACGCTAGTTTGTGTCATCCCGATACCCTTAGGAGAACTATGGGGAAAAGCCCTGACCCCATAGTTCTCCTTTAAGGTTCATGCACACGGCTGCATGGGGAGGAGGGGTCAGTATTCCTTATTCGGGTTGAGCTGCCTAAACCTAAAGTAGATAATTCTGTTACCGCAGTCCAACTTTTGACCATATTTTAAGTTGGGTGCATGGAAACATTCGAATGTTTCCATTCATCACACGCAAACGGACATTGCGCTCTGCCACCACAGCTGCCTAGTACCTCTTAGCTTGCGATTCCATCCGGCCCAGAAGGAGTCATTCACGAGGCAGCAGCACAGGCGCAGAATGCCCGAAGGCTGAGGGGATCATTCTGCACCTGTGCCGTCTGCACTTTGACTCCTGCAGGACTAGAGGGGGGAGATGCAGACTTAAGGAGAACTATGGGGTTAAGGCTTTGCCCCATAGTTCTCCTTAGGGTAACGGAGGACACAAACTAGCGTCCTCCCGTCACCCAAAGCTCAGTATACCGCGAGCTGCAGCTGAGACGCCGCAGAGAGCCGCGACAGGATCGAGAGGTGAGCGAACACAGAGTGCCGCAGCCGGAACGGTTCCCGACAATTATGTCTGGATCCACCCAGCTGCGTGAGTGACAGCTGGCTCTGCCTATCTAGAGGCAGAGCCAGCTGTACCCGCCCCCTCCCCCGTCCGTTGCGCCAGTCAGCGCTGGCGGATCGGAGCGTGGAGGGGGGAATCCAGTCCCTTCCCTGTCACGGCTCTCTGCCGGCAAAGGATTGAGAGGTGAGCGAATGCCGGTATGTGTTCGCTCACTTCCCGATCTATTGAGCCGACGTGTGACAGTCTCATTGTCACAGGTCGGCTCAGATTATGAGGCTGAGTGAAAATCACCTCAGAATTCTCCTTTAAGTCTGCATGTCCCCCCTGCATGAGTCAAAGTGCAGGGGCGGCGGCTAGTTGCACACGCCCACACGGTGCTCCAGTCATGTTCGATTGGCCGATACACGTGTAGCTCACCCCATAGGAAGCCATTTGTTATGTTATGTGATCGCTTGCTACTTTTAGCAATACATCGTTGGCAATTTAAGTAGCGGGATTGGGCTACTGAGGCCAGGTTTAAACGTGTGCAATCCGTGACCGTGTGGAAATCGTGCACGAAACCGTGCGGTCACACGCCACCGCTGATCGTACCGGCGGTGCCATTATTTTCGAACAGTATCCCAGTCGCATCGCAATTCTGCCTGTGCAATCGAACACCATGACACGTGTCGTAAAAAAAATAAGATGTACATGTACCTTTTTTTCAGCGATTGCCGCGCAGATGTAACCCCATTGAAATCAATGGAGCCGTGCGGCAACCGCTGTGTGCAAGTGCCCGGGTCCCTGGTCGCCCAGGTCGGTGCCGGCCCCTAAAAGTCTCCCGTGTAGCTGTGGCCTAATAAGGGGAAAGCCAGCACGTGGTTTCATCTCTCAGGGGGGGGGTCACATGTGACGGAAGGCACCCTATGGCTCACCATACACGTTACAATCCGAGCATGTAATCTCTGTACAGTTACCATAACGATGTAATATGAGGGACGCACCTAAAACTACCCAAACAATTTAAGGGCCCAGTCACACCACATCCAGTGCGTCCAGGTGCAGTTCACGCCCGGAACGCACACACATGAAGCCGGGCCTTGTTCTGGGGCGGGAGGGGGCGTTAGGCAAGTCCTCCATATTACATCGATCAGAAGCTGATTGTACAGAGATTGCACGGTCAGACTGTAAGGTGTGTGTGGTGACCATTAGATCTACCAACAAGTATGTAGTGCAGGGGAGTGACTGGTTGGATTAAACGGCCCAATCACACCACATCCAGTGCGTTCCGGCGCAGTACGCTCCTGGAACACATACATGAAGCTGGGCCGCGTTCTGGGGCGGGAGTGGGCGTGTCGGAGACATTCATGTCGATGGCGGCGCAGACACGCCCCCCCCGTGCGCACGGCCGCACCGGAATGCATGCACAATATTTTAAGATCGCACTGCACTGGAACGGAGGGCACTCTTGTAGCTCGCATTCCGGTGCGGGCGATCGCACTGCTGGCGGGGGCGTGGCCGCAGTGCCATTGACATGAATGGTACCGACACGCCCCCCTTCCCGCCCCAGAACGCAGCCCGGCTTCACGTATGCGATCCAATGCGTTCCGGGCGCTAAACTGCACCGGGACGTACTGGATATGGTGTGACTGGGCCCGCAATCCTCGCACTTCTGTTGGTAGATCTAATGGTCCCCACACACAACTTACAGTCTGACCGTGCAATCTCTGTACAATCAGCTATAGATCTATGTAATATGGGAGGACCTACCTAACCTATCCAATCAGACAGACCCATGACCATTAGATCTGCCAATGCGCATGTAGTGCACCACACACACGTTAGACTCTGACCATGCAATCTCTGTACAATCAACTTTAGATTTACCAAAATTGTGTCATAGGACGAGCCAACGAATCCACCCAACCGATTTGTATCCAATTAGGGTGGCCCTGGCACCACACAGCTGTTAGTAGGTCTATTGTACAATCAGATTGTAACGCGTGTGTGGTGAGCTTACCTGAGATTGTACAATCAGATTGTAACGCGTGTGTGGTGAGCTTACCTGAGATTGTACAATCAGATTGTAACGCGTGGGTGGTGAGCTTACCTGAGATTGTACAATCAGATTGTAACGTGCAGGGTGAGATTGAAGTGGAAAGGCCGCAATAAAAACCGAAATGCCCAAGACCTCCGAGGTGGGCAGAACGCAGTCGGGAGCGAGGACGGGGAGAACGCTCTATTAGGGTGCCCAAGGGATGCAAGAAGCCAGCAGATGACTCAGCCTAGCCAGTCTCCACCGGAAACTGAACCATCACTTATGGCTGGAGACCGGCCTTGACGATCTGACCGCTGTCTGAATGACGTGACCCCGGAACGAGGAGACACAGAAATGTCTGAGGAGGGGGGTCACCTCTCTGTATAATAACAAACATGTCATGAGGAGCAGGAAAACACAGCAAGCCAAGGGCCCCCCCCTACCCCCCCAGCAAGCAGAGCAGAGTCTTGGCTGCATCCACCCCCAGCACTGCAGAGCTGATGTATGGAGGTGATCTTCCTGTGTATACGGCCAGTCCGGGGTGGATGAGGTCTGCCATCCGCACACCTACAGACGATGCGCGCTGACCTGCAACGCTGCAGAGACTCCGCACATCATCCTGCAGCAGCTGCAGAGGATTCAGCCCAGCCTGGGCAATGCAGAGCCGGCAGATCTGAGGACAGAACATATGCATGCAGCAAAAACACCACAGACAGGACAGCAGGGGCGGCTTACCTCTCAGCTGACACTCATGGTGCAGTCTGGCTGCAGATGGCAAACTTTACACTGCTGGGGGGGTAGGATACCCCAGGACGGGGGAGGATGTCTGTCCAGGGAGGGGTTCTCGTCTCCTGCTGCACTCCTAGCACAAGGGTGAGACCAGGCGGCTCCTGCAGAGCTGCTGCAAACTAACTTTCTTCTGTGTTCAGAGAGGAGGAGAGAGAGAGGAGGAGGAGGAGCCCAGATATATAACACAACCCTCCAACTATTGCAGAGCCCGGCCATACAACACAACCGTCCGACTATTGCAGAGCCCAGATATACAACACAACCGTCCAACTATTGCAGAGCCCGGCCATACAACACAACCATCCGACTATTGCAGAGCCCAGATATACAACACAACCGTCCAACTATTGCAGAGCCCAGGCATACAACACAACCATCCAACTATTGCAGAGCCCAGATATATAACACAACCCTCAGACTATTGCAGAGCCCAGCCATACAACACAACCCTCCAACTATTGCAGAGCCCGGCCATAC